CCTGCTCCTCCTCCTGCGCAATTGTTCCCCTGACCTTGAGGATACATGGGACATCAGAGTGATGGGGCCGAACGGTCATTCATTGTCCCTGGGCGTGTGGCTGAAGTGAAGTTCCGCGGTGCGGATTGTTGCTGCGTTGTTTGTTGCTTGCTCTTTGATGTCGTCGTCCAACCCGCGACCCACCCGATCCATCCCGCGACCCACTTCGAGACACACCCCACGACCCACCCCGCAACCCACTCGCCACCCGGCCCGCGACCTGGCCCGTGACCCACGCGCGACCCACACGCGACCCACCCACGGTGCTTTGAAAAAATGGGCGGGCATGCAAATTACGCGCCTGCGGCGGGCTTCTTCAGAGCCAGACTGCCGACGTCCCCGCAACCCCCTCACTCTTATCCGCAGCCGCCCCTTCACTCTTATCCGCAACTGCGGGGTGCTACAGTAGGAGCTCGACCACAAGAAACCTTCCACAGGACATCCTCTGATGTTTGGTGTGAACGTCACGCTTTCCGTAGCAAAACCATCGAAACCCAAAAAACCCAGGGCACTCTGGAGGCAAGCAGGGTGTTTCTTGGCATGGGTCTCCACTGTATGTATTTTTGGACTTTACCTTTCCTGTCAAGCATTGTACGACTTTTTCCACTTTGTGGGCCTCAGGCTAATAAAGACAGCCTCAGGGAGACTCCGCGGGGCATCACCACCAGCCCCTGCCACTTCGCTACCGCATCTCGACGACGGCGCCGAGGACGATGACAACGACAACGACAACGACACCGACACTGGCGACAACGACATTGGCAACGACGGCGGCGGCGGCGGCGGCGGCGGCCTCGCAGACAGCGGCGGCGGTGGCGGCGTCGGCCGCAACGGCGGCCGCGGTGCCCGTCGCACGCGGCGGGGACGACGGCCGCGCCGCGGCGCCCGCCGCGCGAGGCGGCGACTCCGGCCGCGAAGCCGATACTCGTCGACGGCGGCGGCGGCGGCGGCGCCGCCGACGGCCTCCTCGCCCGCGCCGAACATGGCAACCGCGTCCGCCGCCGCGGCCGAGGCGCGGGGGTCCGCGCCCCAGCGCCGCAGCACCTCGGCCACGCCGCAGGCCGGGGGCCTCGCGGCGGCGTAGGTCAGCGCCTGCGGGGGCGCGGCGGGGCCCCTCCTCTGCGCAGCGCGAGGGCTCTCGAAGGTCGAGGCTCGCGGGTCCGCTCTGTATCCCTGCAGTGGCATCTCTGGGGCCTCCTGGGGCCTCCTGGGTTCTAGACGAGCGCGTTCCACTACTCGCAAAGTGACTACTCGCAAATGGCCTGGATCCGCTGGAGGGGAGATACGAGAAATTACATCGAATCAGACATGTGCTTTTCGGGCGTTTGCTACTAGGCACTTTGCGAGTAGTAGAACGGGCTCGGTGAGCTTCAGAGGTCGCGCACAGGGGTGTGTCGCAGAGGGGTGCGGTGCCGGTGCTGAGAATGGTGATGTCATCTGCGACAGCCGCAAGTGCCTAGTATGAGGATTGCAACGACCCTCGCAGCGAAGCAAGCCGCCGCGAACAAGGTAAGTGCCAAGACCTGGGGACTCCTCCCCTTTATGCGCAAGGAGCTGGGCGCTCCATCACGGCGGGATCACCGCACAACCTACAAGCTGGAAGAAGCGCATCGTCGTCCTCAATAGCTGGATGCCATGTCAAGCTGTTGCCTTTCGCGAGCCTTGACGTGGCTGAGTCCGAAGAGGTGTTCTTGCGATAAAAAAAGGGAATGATAGTGTTATCGAGACTGTGGGGTGGATCTGGGATGTAGCGAGCCGCCGACCAAGACTCCATCATCACCGCCACGCGGCCCAAGCGCAAGAGATCAAGCCAGACCCCAGACAACGTTGGATCAGTGAGGTCCCCCAAGTTCAATCGTGGGCCATATCAATACTGATAATATGCAGCCTCATGGGGGTTCTCATGAGAGCCTCCTCTAGACCCGTGAAAACCGCCTTGGCGGCAAAATTCAGCAAACAAGTGCAACACGAACATGGCGGTCGGTGTCCCCAGAGCGGTCTAGAAGCCCATGTGCTGTCCAACGGAACGTCCCCCTCCTCATCCTTCTTCTCCCCCCCCTCCTCCTCCTCCTCCTCCTCCTCCTCCTCCTCCTCCTCCTCCTCCTCCTCCTCCTACTCCTCCGTCAACCCCCTCTTCACCCTTCTTGTTCTGTTTCTCCTCCTCCTCCTCCTCCTCCTCCTCCTCCTCCTCCTCCTCCTTCTGCTCCCGAATCATCGCTGACGATGACGGCTACAAAAACAACGGCGGCGGCAACGACGACCGCCCCTGCGACGAGTCGACGAGCCGCGGCGAGGGCCAAGCTCCCCCACCCCGCGCGGGCGCCGGCAGATGCCGCGAGTCCAGCGCGTCCGGCGAGGCGCCCCAACGCAGGGCCTCCTCCACCTGCACACCGCGCGCGTCGCCGCCGTCGCCGTCGACGTCGTAGGTGCCGTCGCCGCCGCCGTCGTTGTCGTCGTCGTCGTCGTCGTTGTCGTCGTCGGACGTCGTCGGCGGAGGTTCTCGAGCCAGCCTGCGCGAATAACTCTTTGCGCTCTCGCGCCGCCCCCCAAGGGAGAAGAGTAACTAGGGCCCAGGGGAGAAGAGGAGGATGAGGAGCCGGACCGCGAAGCGCCAATACCTTCGCGCCCTCGAAGGCGCCCTTGGGCCAGGGTGGACTCCGGGGGGGGGGCAAGCGTCGAAGATGAGCGGACTTTGGTCGGCGTCGCTGTCGTCGCGGCCTCCGCAAGCATGGGCGCGCGCGCGGGCTGCGAAGCGGCGCCGATCCCCCAGGCCTCCAGCGGCGCGAAAGACTGAGGCGGCAGGCTGCCCGCCCTTCTCGGCGCGTCCCGAGGGACCCGCCCTTGGGCCCCCCCTCCACGGGGCCGTCAAGATAGAGCGGCCTGCGGGACTCCGCGGAGGAAAAGGTACCCATACCTCTGGCCTCCGCCCGGGTTCCCCCTCCCTGGGACTCCTCGGAGGCCCTCGTCGCCACCGCGGGATTCGCCTCGGGATCCTGGCCAGAGAAGTCCTCTGCTGGGGGCGGCGGCGTTTGCCTTTGTCGTCGCGGAACGATCGAGCTAGCCAGCTCTTCCTCAGCGTGGGCCTTGTAGGGGTTTCGAGCCCAGGCTCAGGACCAACGTTGGGGGGGGGAGAGGCTCCGGGGGGCTACATCGACCCCCAATCGCCCATTCGTTACCGATAGTGGGCCCGACATCCCGCCCCCCCCAGAAAAACGTTCGGATTCGCTCTCGGGGGCCTGTCGCCGAAGAATCAGCGACGCATCGCCGACTCCAAGTTCGTGCTTCCCCCCCTGAGCCTCTTCCCCTTGGCGTTACCTCTGACAGGCGATCGAGCAACAGCCCCCGGGACGAAAAGAGCCAGGATCAACTCGAACAGGATCGGCCACCTGGGGCCCTTTGTGGTCCGCTTTCCTGTAATCCTCGTTCCCCCCCTGGGTTTCTCGCCCTCCCGTTGCCGTCCGCCCCCGAACCTCTCGGCAAAACATCCTGGCGGCCGGCCCTGCATCCCCGACCGACTCTCGATGGTCCTGAAGCTCAGACGAAGGGCATCCCGCAGACGCCCGAAGCGGCGCACGAAATATGCGACTAGAGGATAGAGGAGGAGGAGGAGGAGGAGGAGGAGGAGGAGGAGGAGGAGGAGGAGGAGGAGGAGGAGGAGGAGGAGGAGGAGGAGGAGGAGGAGGAGGAGGAGGAGGAGGAGGAGGAGGAGGAGGAGGAGAGGAGGAGGAGGAGGAGGAGGAGGAAGGAGGAGGAGGCTGATTCAAGCTGATTCAAAGCATGGAGCGAGCTCCATCGCATCCAGCGAAACTCAATAAACATATGATTGAGTTCGGTACTGCCTGTTACCGCACGGCGTGTCCTAAAAAGTTACGGGGAGCCCGAGTCCCCCCGGGCCTGCAGCTCCCGAGCCTCCCTCGCGCGCTCCGAGAGACACCAATCTACCGCTTCCCGGGGAGGGGAGGAGGAGGGAGGAGGAGGAGGAGGAGGAGGAGGAGGAGGAGGAGGAGGAGGAGGAGGAGGAGGAGGAGGAGGATAGAGGAGGAGGATAGAGGAGGGAGGAGGAGGAGAGGAGGAGGAGGAGGAGGAGGAGGAGGAGGAGGAGGAGGAGAGGAGAGGATAGAGGAGGAGGAGGAGTAAGAGGAGGAGGAGGAGTAAGAGGAGGAGGAGGAGGAGAAGGAGGAGGAGGAGGAGGAGGAGGAGGAGGAGGAGGAGGTGCAGGAGCAGGAGCAGGACTTCGCGCCGCCCTTCGCGCAGGCGCACGCCGCACTCCGCACTCCAGGCGCGGCGTCTGCGTTGGAGGGTGAAAGAGGGGGTCTGCAACAGGGGGTCTTCAATGGGGGCTGAATGGCCCATGTATGCTCAATGTATCGCTCATGTCTGTGATCGGGTACGATTGGCATCCAATGCTGGTGGTCATTGATGGCCAGTCATTCGTGCCCGCGCGTTGCCCGCGCGGGCACACGCGCCGTCCATCCATTATCGTTCATGCGTGCGGGCGTTCTTGCATATTCTATGTGGGTCGGCGAAGTGGAGTGCAAGTGTGTCTTGATTGTGCGGTTGATGATCGCGTATGTTCCCAAACGATGACTTCTCGACCCCCAAGACAGATTTGGAATGGGCCCCGCGATTTTCCCAAAATGTGAATTCACATTTTCCTTTTTTCCCAAAATGTGAATTCACATTTTCCTTTTTCCCAAAATGTGAATTCACATTCTGGCCCCTTCATAAAGAATCCTACACAAAATTCTAAAATGTGAATTCACATTTTCCTTTTTCCCAAAATGTGAATTCACATTTTCCTTTTTCCCCCAATGTGAATTCACATTTTGCTTTTCCCCACAATGTGAATTCACATTTTGCCCTGGCCTTCAAGATCCCCAAAACTGAGGCGCAGTGTTCCGCATGTCAGATTGGCTGGGCAGATTTCGACACTCACCTGACCGCTTTCGTGTGTTCCAGCCTTTTCTTTTTGCGCCCTTAGCGCACGTTGCCTTCGTCGCCTTTCCCGAGCCCCCCGCCCCCTTGCTTCCTTCCCCCTCAAGTCTCGCGCGCGGGTGCAGGTGGGGGGCTTCAACTAGTTCCCCCACCGAACACAGCAATCAAGGATGCATCGCCCATTCATGGCCTCAAAAAACGTCATTGCGGGGACCCTGCGCCCGACCCCCACTTTCACCCTCCAACTGCGCCCGCGGACCCCGGGCCGCTCGGCGCCCGGCCCGCGGGCCGCTGCGACGCGGCGCGGCCGCCGAGCTGCAAATCGAAGCCGCCCGCCAGTCGAAACGCCCAGCTCGTGCCCGGGTGGGGAGCCTGCGAAGCGCGGGGGGGGGGGGGGCGTGAAGTGGCCCAGGGGCAGGAGCCCCCTATGTGTAGATCTTCGCGCACGTCCTGGGGTCTCTGGCCTTCCCCTCCGCTTCCCAGACTCTCTCCCATAGTTACTCCGTCTGTGTCAATCTGTCTGTGTCTGTTTGCGCCTGTGTCTACTGTGTGTCTGTCTGCTTGCCCCTCCTGAGTGGTTGGGTTCTGAAAACCGTCGGAGCCCCCAGATGACCTCCATGGAAGTCCGCCCCCCTCGCAGCACCCCCCTGCGCGCGCGCCTCGCAGAGGCGGGGTCTGGAGCTCCCGCCGCAGTCTGCCCCCACGGCGCTGCTTCCTGCGGCGTCGCGATCTTTCCCGACGCAGGACGCCTGGGAAGCGCCGCAGGATGAACCCGACCACACGCAGCTTTCGTGACTGCGTGGGTATACGTGCGAGGCAAGAGTTCCAACCGCTGCGCTCGACGAGCTGGAAACGTGCTGGGTCCGCGCTTGCCCGCAGGACGTCGAAACCGAAACGCCAGGACACGTGCAACGACAACATAACGCACATGCAGCATGCTGGCGAACACCATGAGGATCAGCCATTCACGCATGGCAATACACAAGCCCAGTCGGCAAGGCAATGCCCCAGAATCCTCATCTTCCCCTCGCCTCTGTCCTTAGGTCGGGCATGTCCCCCTGCAGGCGGATTCTAGAAGAAAAACAAATCATGGCCAACAAAGAAATCAAGCATAGTCAAAGGAGCACAAAACACCGTCACCAGACTGTTTGTTCTTACTATTCCTGAGTACCCCTCATGTGATGGGACATTTCCGAATCATAGCGTTGTCCCCGCCCTGCTCCCCCCTGGACGGTTTCCATCGAGGCCGTAGGCGACCCGAGGAGGGGAGGGCGAGGAGGAGGAGGAGGAAGAGGAGGAGGGGGAGGAGGGGGAGGAGGGGGAGGAGGAGGAGGAGGAGGAGGAGGAGGAGGAGGAGGAGGAGGAGGAGGAGGAGGAGGAGGAGGAGGGGGAGGAGGAGGAGGAGGAGGGGAGGAGGAGGAGGAGGAGGAGGGAGGAGGAGGAGGAGGAGGAGAGGAGGAGGAGGAGGAGGAGGGGGAGCAGGAGAGAGGAGGAGCTTCGGTTGCCCAAGCCCTTCGGAAAAACCCTCCACTCACCCCTCCCTGCTTGCAGGCCTTCCAGGCTGGGGTCGGCGCAGCCGGTGTCGGACGCTCGCGCCGCATCGGCCATGCGTCGCCAACGCCTCGGCGATGCGTCGGCGATTCATCGACGATGTCGGCGTGTCGGTCGCGCCGCATCGTCGATGCATCGCCAACGCCTCGGCGAAGCAACGGCGACGTCGGCGATTCATCGACGACGTCGGCGTGGAGAACGGTCGCGCCGCATCGTCGATGCATCGCCAACGCCTCGGCGATGCAGCGGCGACGTCGGCGATGCATCGACGACGTCGGCGTGGAGAGAATCGAGCTCTGCGTCTCGAGTAGGGGATTGCCTGCAGAATTGATTTACCCCCATAAAATGATTTTCGCCTCGAGTCTTCAACACAACTACGCAGAATATCCGTAGATCTACGAACTCTCTACACATGTTCCATGGACTCGGCGACCAGATCCCATTCTGGGGTGAATCAATTCTGTAGTCGATCCCCTAATTACTCGAACATCGAGCCGCATCGCCGATGCTCCGGCGATGCTGCACCATCCTCCGACTCCGTCAGCTCCGACCCAATCTGGGAGGCCCCAAATAGAAGAAGACCAAAAACACATAAACATACACTTTTGGCGCTCCGCGCGGATTGGGTGGTTTTGCGCTGGACCCCCCTCCCTGGCGCGCGGAGCGCGCCAGGGGCGGCGCCGCAGGCGCCGCCGGGGGGCCCAGACGCTGATCCAAGAAACCCGCGCGGAGCGCCAAAAGTTTATGGTTATGTTGTGTGTTCTTCTTCATCGACAAGAGGCCGAGGCCGAGGAGGACGACGCCGCAGCGACCACCAGCGCCGACGCCGAAGCTCGGACGACTCGAGGCAAGCGGCGGCCGTCCGAGGCCCCTCGTCGACACGCCGCCGACGCCCACGACCCGACGACAGCTGTCCGAGGCTGGCGACGTGCGCGAGCCGCCGCCGACGACGGCCTCCGACGACGAAGCCGCCCGCGTCGACGCCGGCGGCGACTGGTAGACGAGCGCGTCCCAGTACTCGCAAACGGACTACTCGCGAATGGCCTGGATCCGGCGAGGGGGATCTAGGATACAGGTCGTCGAAGCAAGCACAGGTGCTTCGGACGTTTGCGAGTAGGCCCTTTGCGAGTGGCGGAACGCGCTCGTTGAACTGGGGAAACCGAAAGGTACCGATGCCGCTGCTTCCCAGGACCTCTCCCGGGGTGCGTCCTGACCAGAGCTGCGGGGCGAATCCGGTGGCGGCGACGAGGGCCTCCCAGGAGGGCCAAAGAGGGGAGCATTGGGCAAGGGTACAATCAGATCGCTGAAATGAGGACCGCTTTGGGCTCAGGAGGGGCTCGGGAGGTCAGTCCGTTCCTTAGATGTGTGTCGCGGAACCTGTTTGTCGCCTAGGCCCGCCGTGGTCAGAGGAGCCCCTTCGTACCTTACTATGCGTTCCATATGGTAGCACGCTTGGTGTAGAGCTAGGGGCACCCCTTCCTCCCCCCCCGCGAGTGACGCCGGGGGGGGGGGGGAAACACCACACCACCCAAAGAAAGCCGGGAAACAAATATACACCACACCACCCCGACGTCGTCCTCGTCCGTGGCCCACAAAAAGTCCAGGGATTGAGAAACAGCACGCCGCTGGTAATGTAGATGTTCCAATTTCCGGCTATGGGCACCCCTTCCTGGGGAGACAAAAAGGTACCGATACCGCTACTCCCCGGACCTCTCCCGGGGTGCGTTCTGACCAGAACTTCGAGGCCAATCCAGCGGTGGCGACGAGGTCCCCCCAGGAGGCCCAAAGAGGGGAAAACACGGGAAGGGTAGAGGTATGGGGACCTTCTCCTCCTCTGACCTCCCCCCCCCCCCCGCGACTGACGCCGACGCCAACGCCGAGGTCGCCGCCATCGCCGAGGTCGGCGGCGGCGGCGAGCGGACGGCGGCGGCGGCCGGCACGGGGGCGCGCCGAGTGCTCGTCGCCGGCCTTCGCGAGGAAGGGCAGCGCCTCCCGCGGCCGGGGGCCGTCCGTCGTCGTGGGCCACGTCTTGGAGCAGGGGCCCCGACCGTCCCGTCCCGGCCGTGCTTCGTGGAGCACGTCTCGAGGAAGGGGAGGAGGACCCGCGAGAGGGCAGAGGGCCTCTCAGAGAGGGGAGAGCGGCGCTCCGTGGAGTCCTCGAGGACGGCTCCTCTTGGAGCCCTTGCGTGCAGGAGAGCCTCGTAGCGGCGGAGTGTCTTCTGAGAAGCACCGCCCTCCCCCTCCCCCGCTGGAGGGAGGTTGAGCAGGGACCGACCGTCCCGGCATTCAGATAGTCCTACCACGACATGTTCTTAGAACCACAAAAAACGTTCTAAGAGCAAACGCAGTGTCTTTAGAACGTTAGCCCTATGTGTTAAAACGAGACAGTATCAGCCAGCAATGTTCTAAGAACATGTCGCGGAAACCACACAAGTTCTTAGAACATTGCTTGGTAGGGCTATAGGCGAGCCAGGACGCTTCGCCACTGCTGAAACGTCGCCCCGCGCACAACTCAGCATCATTTAACTTCTTATTTATTCTGCGAGTATATATATATATATATATATATGTATGTACATCTAAAAACGCGGTTTGTTTGTACCATTGTTCTTTAACTTGGTCCCATCCCCACTGACACGGTCTTGACCCCGCTGGCCGGCTTGGCCCCCACGATGGAGACACATGCTGTTCCCTTCAAGCTTCGCGGGGCCTACCCCCCCTGGTGGAGTGGGATGGTGTAGCTGAGATCCGCCACCGTGCCCCCTGGCACGTTGGGGCGTGCTCGAATGCCAAGTGCTGTCCAAGGCCAGAATTCCGTGCAAAATACTCCACACTTGCACTCCCGAGGTCACAGACCGTTGTCACAATAATGCGTACTCGCGCTCCCGAAGCCAAGATGCCTCCAAGACGGCCCAAGATGGCTCCAAGATGGCCCACTGTGATTTCGAGACGAACCAAGGTGGCCACAAGATGTCCCAGAGGCCTTCGAGATGTCCCAAGAGAGCCCCAATAGCCTACCCGAGGGTCCCGAGAGGAAAAAAATGAATTGTCCATCGAGGTTCTCCACTGTTTTGGGGATTCTCTCCTTTTCGAGCTTCCGACGTCCCAAGACGGCCCAACAAGCCCCAAGAGATCCCCATGATGGCCGAAGAGGTCCCCAAGAGGGCCCCAAGACGGCCCAAGAAGGCTCAAAAACTGCCCAAGAGGCGCCCAAAACTGCCGGAGAGGGCCCCAAGACAACCCCAAGAAGGGCCCAAGACGGCCCGAAACGGTCCAAGAGGGCCCCCAAGACTGCCTCACAGGAGGCCAAGACACCTAAGTACAAGATGGCCCAAAGGGGTTCCATGAGGGTTCCCCAGCTGGTGAAGACGAAAGGTGCCACGTGTGATTGCCTTTCGCTTCCTCTTCCTGCTTCTCCTCCTGCTGCTGGGCACACCTCCCTCCTTCTTCGTGAAATTTGGACACAGCTCGGCTCGGTCGCAACCCGAACACTTGCTCCATGTCTTCAGAAGAAGAAATGGCATCAACATAACTGTTGGCGCTCCGCGCGGATTTCTTGGATCTGCACTGGACCCCCCTCCCTGGCGCGCGGAGCGCGCCAGGGGCGGTGCCGAAAGCGCCGCCAGGTGGCCCCCAGCGCGGATTCGAGAAAATCCGCGCGGAGCGCCAAAAGTTTATGTTTATGGCGATGTTTTTCTTCTTCGAGTCTTGCCATCCGTGGCCGTAGCTGGCATCCTCGACTTAGCGAAGCCGATTAGCCACCGAGACAGACTGGTGGGCGACGACTTGCTCCTCGAGCCTCCCCCGTGGGCGGGGCCGAGGCGCGAGCAGCTGCCAAAATGGTGTTCGGGCCCAAGCAGTCTGAGAAGAGGCGGGAGAGGAGGCAAACGACGAGGGCGAGCGACACGAGGAGGAAGAAGAGGAGGACGAAGGAGGAGGAGGAGGTGGAGGAGGAGGAGGAGGAGAAGGACGAGGAGGAGGACGAGGAGGAAGAGAAGGCATATGAGGAGGAAGGGGGGGGGATGACGAGGAGGAGGAAGAGAAGGCAGAGGAGGTGACAGACGACGAAAACGGCGGCGACGACGACGACGACCATCACGACGCCAGCGCCGACGGCGTGCCTCGCTCGACAGCTCCCGCCGGAGTACCGCGTTGAAGGCCTCCGCGCCCGCGAGCGCGGGCATGCCAGGGGCGCCGCTGGGGAGCTTGCACCTCAGGCGTGGGGAAGCCAAAAGGTACCGATACCGCTGCTCATCGGTCGGAAGAAGCAGGTAGAAACATGAAGTAGGAAGGCGCTGAACATAAATTGGGTTTCCGCCCGCCCCCGAAGGAGGACGGAAAAGGTGAAGCCACTCGATCATTGAAGTAGGAAGGCGCGTAAAGTAGAGTGGAATCTGGAAATCCAAAAATACATACTTTCAACAACCGATGAGTACTCTCCGGACCTCTCCTTGGGCGCGCTCTGGCGAATCCAGCAGTGGCGACGAGGGCCTCCCAGGATACCCACAGCGGCGAAAACGAGGGAAGGGTAACAGGGAAGGTAACAGGGTAACAGGGAAGGGTAACAGGTAACAGGGAACGGTTTGAAACTAATTCTCCGCCGACATTTGTGGGTCTCTCGGCGTGTGAGCTCGTTCCCCCCATAACCCCCCCCCCGCGGGACCCAAAACCAGCAATTCGACCCCCCCCTGGCCTGGGACGAACGCATCACAGGGAAACGTGCCAAGAAGGCTCCAAGAGGCCCCCAAGACAGTCCAAGAGAGCCCCGAGTCGCCGAGTGAGTATCCCAAGAGGCCAGAGATTGCCTCCACACGGCCCAAGATGCCCCGAGAGGCCCCCAAGAAGACTCCCCAGGGGCCCCAAGAGGCAAAAACCGTCTCACTCCCATTGGAAAACTTCTATGTTCAACGAAGTCGCCCCTTGGGCTTTCGCAGCAAGAGGCCCCCAAGATCGCCCCAAGACAGCGCAAGAGGGCCCCAAGAGGGCTCCAAGACGGTCCAAAAGGGCCCCAAGACGGCCCAAGAGGCCGTCAAGACGGCCCAAGACGGCCCCAAGACGGCTCCAAGAAGGGGCCCAGACGGGGGACCCGAACGAACATTTCGAGCCCTCAGCTTCGAGAGGCCCCCAAAGGCCCCAAGAGGCCCCCAAGAGGCCCTCCGGAAGCCCCAGGAGCCTTCCAAGAGGCTCCGAAGAGGCCCCCCAAGAGAGTCCCAAACGGCCCCCAGACTGGCGCCCCCCCCCCCTCCCACAGGCCCCCGAGCGCGCTCCGAACCCCAAGAGGCACCTCGGAGGACCCCGACCCCGAGCCCACGCACGGTGGCGGCGGGACAGGCCGGGGGCCCTTCGATCCGCCGCCCCCCAGGCTTGTCACAGAGGTGCCCGGCGTGCTGGACGCTACCGTTCTTAGTTTTGGCTCTTTTTCCAAAAGGAACTCTCCCCTGGGGCTTCGGCCCGTCCTGCCGGCCACCCGGAAGGATGCTCACAAGGACCGGTTGGTTGCCCCAGTCGCCTTCAAGACGGCCAAGATGGCCCAGGATGGCCTCCAAGCCTCCAAGACGGCCAAAATGGCTCCAAGATGCCCCCAAGACGGCCCAACATGCAACCCAGACGGCCTTAGACGGCCTCAAGAAATCCAAAGACGGCATCGGAGGCCTCCAAGAGGCCTCCAAGACGGCCCCAAAGGCCTCCAATAGGGCCTCCATGAAGGCCAGAAGAGTCCCAAATCCTGAATGTTCCGGGGAGGTTTCTAGAGGATTTTGGCACTTGCTTCTTTTCGGCCTTCCAACGGACTGAGACGGCCCAAGGGCCCCCCAAGATCGCCCCAAAATCGCCCAAGATGCCTCCAAGATGGCCCCAGAACGGCCCCAAAGGCCCCCAAGACCGCTCCAGAAGGGCCCCAAGACGGCCCAAGAGGCCTCCAAGACGCCCAAGCTGGCCTCCAAGACGGCTCTGGAGCACCCCAAGAGGGCCCCCAGTCGGCCCCCAGATGCCCCCAAGCTTCCGACGGCGTCAGACGGGCCAGGAGCCCACCAGGACGGCCCAAGATGGCAATAAGATGGGCCAAGGGGCCCCCAAGAGGCCTCCAAGACGGCCTCCAGGAAGGCCCGAGAATGCACAAATCCTTTATCTACCATAGGTTTTCGAAGGATTTTGGCACTTGCTTCTTTTCGGCCTTTCGACGGCCCGATACGGCCCAAGAGCCCCGAAAGATCGCCCAAGAGGCCTCCAGGGCGGCCCCAGAATGACCCAAGAGGCCCCCAAGACGGCCCCAGTAGGGCCCCAAGACGGTCCAAGAGGCCTCCAAAACGCCCAAGATGGCCTCAAAGACGGCCCTGAAGCACCCCAAGAAGGTTTCAAGCAGGCACAGAGGAGGCCCCCAAGACGGCTTCCGACGGAACCGGACGGGCCTGAACACCCCGAGACAGCCAAAGAGACCCCGAGAGAAGCCCCCAAAGGCCCCCCAAAGGCCCATCCAAGAGAGGCTCCCAGGGACCTCAAGAGTGCCCCCAGAGGCTCCCAAGATGCCCCCTCCTTCTCCTCCTCCTCCTCCCCTCCCTCCTCCCTCCTCCCTCCTCCCTCCTCCCTCCTCCCTCTCCTCCTCCTCCTCCTCCTCCTCCTCCTCTTCTTCTTCTTCTTCTTCCTCCTCCTCCTCCTCCTCCTCCCCCTCCTCCTCCCTCCTCCTCCTCCCTCCTCCTCCTCCTCCTCTCCTCCTCCTCCTCCTCCTCCTCCTCCTCCTCCTCCTCTCCTCCTCCTCCTCCTCCTCCCCTCCTCCTCCTCCTCCTCCTCCTCCTTCCTCCTCCTCCTCCTCCTCCTCCTCCTCCTCCTCCTCCTCCTCCCTCTCCTCTCTCCTCCTCCTCCCTCCCTCCTCCTCCTCTCCTCCTCCCCCTCCTCCTCCTCCTCCTCCTCCTCCTACTCCTCCTCCTCCTCCTCCTCCTCCTCCTCTTCCTCCTTCTCCTCATCCTCCTCTTTCTCTCCTCCTCCTTCTGCTCCTCCTCCTCCTTCTCCTTCTCCTGATCTTCCCCGCCATCCTCCCCCAAATGTTCCCCGAAGGGTTTCCACAACGGTTGGGGGAACACATCTTCCGATAGCTTGGCAGAGCTCTTGCCACAACGCTCGGAAGCATGGGCGACTTCAAAACTATTGGTGTCCCCCCCACGTTCCCCGAAGGCTTTCCAAACCAACTCGGGGAAACCCTGGCCCGATAGCTTAATCAAGCTCTAGCCCAGCTGTCGGCGACATGGGCACTTCCAAAAGGGCAGGGGGCGGCGGTGATTCGCCGAAGGCGTCTTCGATAACAACAAGCATAAGTCACGCAGCACCCAGAAGCCGTAGCAGCTACTCTCCCCCAAGGGGGCGCGGCGGTGCGGCGTAAGCCAAAGATCAACACACTGTGCAAACGAACCCAAAACATCGGAACCTCTTCGGCCCGATCGCAACCGGTTGGAATCCGCCCCAAGTGGTTGCGATCGGGCCGAAGTGTTGCGATCGGCCCCGGCCGCGCCCCAGGAGCCCCCATAAGGCCCCAGGAGCAGGAGGCCTCAGAAGGCTTCAGGAGTGGCTCCAATCCGACTTGTTGTGTCTGTTCCTATAGATCGGGCCTCTCCTGGGGCACGAACCCTCCCCAGGAGGCCCCAGGTGGCTCCAAAAGGCTCCAGGAGGCCACACGAGGCCCCAGCAGGCCTCATGAGGCCACAGGAAGCCCCTATAGGCACCAGGAGGCCCCCAGAGGCCCCAGGAGGCTCCAGGAAGCCCCAGGAGGTTTCAGGAGGCCCCAGGCAGCCCCAGGCTCATGCGCAGAGACGCACTCGTACTACTGAGACTCATTCACACTCCAGCTCATTCACAAGCAGATTCACTCCTAGACCGCCAGAGTACCCACGCCCGCTGATACTCGAGAACTGCTGCGCCCAGACGCTCACGGCGGACAGGTCCCTGCAAATAGATGCACAGACGGGGAGCTCTCCGCAGAGAATATATAGATGTAATATATATATATATATATGTATGTATATATATATATATGTAATATATACAAATGAATGTAAATAAACTGTTTGTTTGACCACCACCGCGCGCGCAAGCCTGGAGCAGCGCGGAAGCTGGCATGACCCGACGGAGCGCAAACTGCCCTCGCCGGCGGACTCCCGCGAGTGCCGCTCGCTGGAGCCCTCGAAGCTAATCTCACCAAACTCTGCCCGGCCTGCGCAACGGGGAGAGGCTCGGAGGGCTGCGAAAGGCAGACGGGAGGCGCGGAGGCCTGCAAGAGGAGCACGGTGGCGGGAAGCACCGGGAGCCCCGCCCAAACGGCAGAGATGCTCCAGAAGGGGAGGGCTTACGGGGTGAGGGCTCGTACCCTTGGCCGTTCTGCCGAACCGGCTCCGCAGCCCGAGTGTAGGCCACAGAAGGCCGATCGGCGCAGCACAGTGCCGCCGTCTTGGAGCTCTCGTCGATGAAGGGCAACGAAAGGGGGGGGATAGGCATAGGGGGAGGATGCCTCAACCTGGAATCGGTGATACATCGTCGATAGATCGGCGATGGGCCTCCGATAGTGCATCCGCTCCTTCCTGGGCAGGTTGGGGCTATCGAGTCCCTCTCGGCGATCCATGGGCGACTGGGGGTCGATGCACCCCCCCTATGCCTATCCCCCCCCCTATCGTTGCCCCTGACTCGAGCTCTAGCTCCCTGAGTGGGCTACTGGAGCCTCCGGCGGGCGAAGAGAACAGCAATGTGGCACGCGGGAAGGGCGGGCCTGGGCCGACAGGGCCGCTCGCCAGGCCGAGGGCCCCCGGAGGCCCCCGCTCAGTCCCACGTCGCCTCGGCGAGCCTGCCGACCTGGAAGTCGGCGAGCACGCCCTCGGTGCGCCCGCCCTCGGCGCTCTCGCCATCGGCCAGGTCCTCGGTGGGGCACACGCACATCTGCGCCCGGGCGGCGAGGGTGGCGGCCGCCTCGTTGTCCTCCATCTTCCCGCCGGGCCTGCGGGCCGCCCCGCGCGCCTCCCTGACCTTCTCCCAGCGCGTCTTCCAGCCCGGCTTGTCGAAGAGGGGGCCCCTCCTGGCGGGGTCGAGCCCGTCCCTGTGGCGCTGGCACTCGGGCGTGACGGACTCCAGGGACTCGGGGTGCGCGTCGAACCCGAGCAGGCCGCCGACGTCCGCGCGGCCGAGCGCGCTCAGGCGCCGCAGGGCCAGGTTCAGGTGCTCCTGCCCCGGCAGGTCCTGGCGCACGACGAGCACCGCGGGCTCGTGGGTGGGCGTCGCCTGCAGGCGGACCTCGACCTGCCCGGCCACGCTCGGCGCGCCGGCCCTGGCCGGCTTCCTGCTGTACCACTGCGCCTTGGACAGTGTCACCACGGCGGTATCCGCCGCGGCGGGGCGGGCGAGAACGTGCGCCTGGTCGGTCCACTGGTCGATCTTCTCCCACGGGGCCTCGGCGGGCGCGCCGGCGCTCAGCACCCGGAGGCCCAGGAACTTGTCGGTCGTGTTCTGAGCGCGGGATCTGAGGTAGGAGCGCACCTGCACGACCTTGCCCTTCAGCCAGGAGCCGGAGATCTCCACCTCCGTGATGTACGTGGTGCACGGCTTCCCGTGCTCGGGGAGGATGGTGGCCTTCAGCTCCACCTCTGCGGGCACGGCGGCGTTCTGGGGGATCCTCAGCAGGATGAACTCTCCCCCGTGGTTCACGTCGAAGTGTTCCCCCTGCAAGTTGACCAGGTGCGGGTCGCCCCTGGCAGCCACCGTTGGGACCGGAGTCGGCATGACGGCGGGCGGGGGGCCGATGCAGCAGCCGCCAGTCCCGAAGCCAGTCCCCGCGTAGCTGTCAAGCAAGGTGTTGTTGACGTTCTCGCCGCAATTCTCGTCGCACTTGTAGCCCATCTCGCAGATCTCGATGCCGCACCCGCACGGGTATGAGTCGGACAGCTCCATCCCGTTGGTGGCCGAGCAGGACGACACCATCGCGTCGAATTTGCCAAACCCCTCGTTCACCCCGTGGTCCAGGACGAAGAAGGGCCCTCGCGTGCGGAGCAGGGCCTCGTGCTCGGGCGAGAGGCGCGCGCCGTCGTCAAATCCCACCTTCCCGGTGATGACCAGCCTCTCGAAGTGGCCAGGGTTGCGCGTCGACATTGTGATCGTGTCACCCACCACCAGCACCACTCCGCTTTCGTCCTCGTCCTTGTTGATGAAGACGTTGTCGGCGCCCCTCTCGATTGGTCCGGTCAGGTACACCCCCCCGATGCATTGGTCGAAGTCGCCGAGGTCATCCTTGCCTGAAGGGCACTCGGTGCACGCCTCCGAGCGGCGGCGCCTCGTCTCTCCCGTGGTGCACACCTGACAGACGCTGGTGTCCTCCGAGAAGAAGTACCCGTACGTGCACTCATCTGGAGCTGCGATCGGGAACGAGGGCAGGCCCTCAGACAGCGACGAGTTGGCGCACTCCGCCTGGGTCATGCAGCCGTCCCCGTCCGCGTCCAGCTCGTCGAAGCGCCCCTTGAACTGCTCCACCTTCTCCGACTCGCCCAGGAAGAGGCAGCCGTCGCCGTCCAGGTCCAGGTAGGGGAAGACGCCGCACCCCGCAGCATCGCAGGTGCACGGCTTCCCGCCTTCCAGGGTCGGGGCCGGCGTCGGGGCCTCCGTGGGCCGCCCTGCCGACTGCGCCCGCTCCGCGCAGGGCTCGGGGCACACGCCGGACAGCCGGGCCGTGGCGTGCAGGTGCCGCTGGAAGTCCTCGAAGCTGGAGCTGCTGGTCAGGGGGGCGTACCAGCCCGGGTTCTCCGCGATGCCCGTCTGCATCGCCCACTGCACCTCGACGAAGCACTCCTCGCCCGCGACGGAGGTCCGGCAGCCCCTCTGCGGCTGCCCGGCGGGGGCGTCCCCCGCGGGGCCGTGCACGGACAGCTGCATGAGCTGCAGGTCGGCCTGCGCTCTGCAGGCGAGGGCGAGCGCCACCGTGACGAGCGGGCTTGTGATGCCGAGCATGGCTCGTGCAAATATATTGGTTGGTTCGGTTTCCGGGAAACACGCCGGGAAGCCTCCGTTGCAACCTTCGGTCCAGCCTCCCCTCTTGAGCCAGCACGCCGGCCCAGTGGAAATTGCGTTCTCCGCAGATGGCCCCAAGATGGCCTCAAGATGCTCAATATGGCCCTAAGACGGCATCGATGGCCTCCAAGGCGGTCGATATGGCCCGAGAGAGCCCAAGATGGCCCCAAGATGCAGCCAAGACTTCCCAAGAGGCCCCCAGAGCGCCCCAACGAGGCTCCACCCCCAGGAGGTTTCAACCACAGCAGACTCCAGGAATCCTCACTCCCAGACCGCCAGGTTTTTCAGGATGCACAGACAAGCGGCCCCCAGGCTCATTGCCAATGCCTCAATAAATAAATGTTTATGTAAATGTTTTTGTGACATTTTCGCGCGCGCGCCGAGCGCGCGCAAGCCTGGAGCAGTCGAAGTTTGCTCACTCCCCTAGCCGGCCACCCCAAGGTTCCCTACGGGAGCCGAACGCTGGGCAGAACTCTTCCCCAACTGCGCTGACCCGGCCTCGGCGGCGCGGGGCCTCCGCGAAAGGGGACGTGGAGAGGAGCGTGGCGACGAGGGCCCCCCAGGAACCAGGCGGCGAGAGGGAAGGGTAACAGGGAAGGGGTACAGGGAAGCGAAGGTAAAGGGATGTTGACAAGAGCCGCGCTACTAGGCGTTGGAATCGAGTCCCTCCTAACGAGGGCGATCCATGGCCCTGGGACGGGTCGACCCCGCGAACCCCCCCAAAAGGCCAGGGGGGGAGCGCCGGCGGGCGAAGAGGCCCCAAGACGGCCCAAGACTCGCCAGGCCCCGAGGGCGCCCCGGAGGCTCCCGCGCGTGGCTTCCAGCCCCCCTTGTGGCGGGGGGGGCCCCTCCTGGCGCGGGAGCAGGCCGCCGACGGCGAGCGCGCTCAGGCGCCGCAGGGCCAGGTTCAGGTGCTCCTGCCCCGGCGGTGCCCCGAGCACACCGCGGGCTGGGCCGCCTGGCCCGCTCGGCGCGCCGGCCTGGCCGGCTTCCTGGCGCGCTGCCTGCGCCTTCGGTCCAGCGTCGCGACAGTGCCGGGGTCGGCAGGGCCGGCGAGAACGTGCGCCCCCCTCGGTCCACTGGTCGATCTTGCCGCCCACGGGGCCTCGGCAGGGCGCCGTCGCTCCAGCACCCGCGACGGCCCAGGAACTTGTCGTCTGCCGCTGAGGACGCGTGGGATCGAGGTAGGACGGCACCTGCACGACCTTTTGTGTCTGGTCTGACCTGGTTGATCTGGTCACGGCTTCCGTACCAGCGTCGCCGGTTGGCCTCATGCCTCCCGCTCCGCGCAGGGCTCGGGGCACCCACCGCACCGCTGGAAGTCCTCGAAGCTGGAGCTGCTGGTCAGGGGGGCGTACCAGCCCGGGTTCTCCGCGATGCCCGTCTGCATCGCCCACTGCACCTCGACGAAGCACTCCTCGCCCGCGACGGAGGTCCGGCAGCCCCTCTGCGGCTGCCCGGCGGGGCGTCCCCCGCGGGGCCGTGCACGGACAGGCATGAGGCAGCGTGCGGCTCTGCAGGGCGCCCCCGCGGGGACGAGCGGGCTTGTGATGCCGAGCCCTGCAAATATATTGGTTGGTTCGGTTTCCGGGAAACACGCCGGGATGCCCTCCGTTGCAACCGTCGGTCCAGCCTCCCCTCTTGAGCCAGCACGCCGGCCCAGTGGAAATTGCGTTCTCCGCAGATGGCCCCAAGATGGCCTCAAGATGCTCAATATGGCCCTAAGACGGCATCGATGGCCTCCAAGGCGGTCGATATGGCCCGAGAGAGCCCAAGATGGCCCCAAGATGCAGCCAAGGCTTCCCAAGAGGCCCCCAGAGCGCCCCAGCGAGGCTCCAGGAAGCCCCAGGAGGTTTCAGGAGGCCCCAGGCGGCCCCAGGCTCATGCGCAGAGACGCACTCGTACTGCTGAGATTCATTCACACTCCAGCTCATTCACAAGCAGATTCACTCCCAGACCGCCAGAGTACCCACGCCCGCTGATACTCGAGAACTGCTGCGCCCAGACGCTCACGGCGGACACGTCCCTGCAAAAAGATGCACAGACGGGGAGCTCTCCGCAGCGAATATATATATATGTGTGTAATATATATATATATATATATGTAATATATATATATATAAATGAATGTAAATAAACTGTTTGTTTGACCACCACCGCGCGCGCAAGCCTGGAGCAGCGCGGAAGCTGGCATGACCCGACGGAGCGCAAACTGCCCTCGCCGGCGGACTCCCGCGAGGGCCGCTCGCTGGAGCCCTCGAAGCTAATCTCACCAAGCTCTGCCCGGCCTGCGCAACGGGGAGAGGCTCGGAGGGCTGCGAAAGGCAGACGGGAGGCGCGGAGGCCTGCAAGAGGAGCACGGTGGCGGGAAGCACCGGGAGCCCCGCCCAAACGGCAGAGATGCTCCAGAAGGGGAGGGCTTACGGGGTGAGGGCTCGTACCCTTGGCCGTTCTGCCGAACCGGCTCCGCAGCCCGAGTGTAGGCCACAGAAGGCCGATCGGCGCAGCACAGTGCCGCCGTCTTGGAGCTCTCGTCGATGAAGGGCAACGAAAGGGGGGGGATAGGCATAGGGGGAGGATGCCTCAACCTGGAATCGGTGATACATCGTCGATAGATCGGCGATGGGCCTCCGATAGTGCATCCGCTCCTTCCTGGGCAGGTTGGGGCTATCGAGTCCCTCTCGGCGATCCATGGGCGACTGGGGGTCGATGCACCCCCCCTATGCCTATCCCCCCCCCTATCGTTGCCCCTGACTCGAGCTCTAGCTCCCTGAGTGGGCTACTGGAGCCTCCGGCGGGCGAAGAGAACAGCAATGTGGCACGCGGGAAGGGCGGGCCTGGGCCGACAGGGCCGCTCGCCAGGCCGAGGGCCCCCGGAGGCCCCCGCTCAGTCCCACGTCGCCTCGGCGAGCCTGCCGACCTGGAAGTCGGCGAGCACGCCCTCGGTGCGCCCGCCCTCGGCGCTCTCGCCATCGGCCAGGTCCTCGGTGGGGCACACGCACATCTGCGCCCGGGCGGCGAGGGTGGCGGCCGCCTCGTTGTCCTCCATCTTCCCGCCGGGCCTGCGGGCCGCCCCGCGCGCCTCCCTGACCTTCTCCCAGCGCGTCTTCCAGCCCGGCTTGTCGAAGAGGGGGCCCCTCCTGGCGGGGTCGAGCCCGTCCCTGTGGCGCTGGCACTCGGGCGTGACGGACTCCAGGGACTCGGGGTGCGCGTCGAACCCGAGCAGGCCGCCGACGTCCGCGCGGCCGAGCGCGCTCAGGCGCCGCAGGGCCAGGTTCAGGTGCTCCTGCCCCGGCAGGTCCTGGCGCACGACGAGCACCGCGGGCTCGTGGGTGGGCGTCGCCTGCAGGCGGACCTCGACCTGCCCGGCCACGCTCGGCGCGCCGGCCCTGGCCGGCTTCCTGCTGTACCACTGCGCCTTGGACAGTGTCACCACGGCGGTATCCGCCGCGGCGGGGCGGGCGAGAACGTGCGCCTGGTCGGTCCACTGGTCGATCTTCTCCCACGGGGCCTCGGCGGGCGCGCCGGCGCTCAGCACCCGGAGGCCCAGGAACTTGTCGGTCGTGTTCTGAGCGCGGGATCTGAGGTAGGAGCGCACCTGCACGACCTTGCCCTTCAGCCAGGAGCCGGAGATCTCCACCTCCGTGATGTACGTGGTGCACGGCTTCCCGTGCTCGGGGAGGATGGTGGCCTTCAGCTCCACCTCTGCGGGCACGGCGGCGTCCTGGGGGATCCTCAGCAGGATGAACTCTCCCCCGTGGTTCACGTCGAAGTGTTCCCCCTGCAAGTTGACCAGGTGCGGGTCGCCCCTGGCAGCCACCGTTGGGACCGGAGTCGGCATGACGGCGGGCGGGGGGCCGATGCAGCAGCCGCCAGTCCCGAAGCCAGTCCCCGCGTAGCTGTCAAGCAAGGTGTTGTTGACGTTCTCGCCGCAATTCTCGTCGCACTTGTAGCCCATCTCGCAGATCTCGATGCCGCACCCGCACGGGTATGAGTCGGACAGCTCCATCCCGTTGGTGGCCGAGCAGGACGACACCATCGCGTCGAATTTGCCAAACCCCTCGTTCACCCCGTGGTCCAGGACGAAGAAGGGCCCTCGCGTGCGGAGCAGGGCCTCGTGCTCGGGCGAGAGGCGCGCGCCGTCGTCAAATCCCACCTTCCCGGTGATGACCAGCCTCTCGAAGTGGCCAGGGTTGCGCGTCGACATTGTGATCGTGTCACCCACCACCAGCACCACTCCGCTTTCGTCCTCGTCCTTGTTGATGAAGACGTTGTCGGCGCCCCTCTCGATTGGTCCGGTCAGGTACACCCCCCCGATGCATTGGTCGAAGTCGCCGAGGTCATCCTTGCCTGAAGGGCACTCGGTGCACGCCTCCGAGCGGCGGCGCCTCGTCTCTCCCGTGGTGCACACCTGACAGACGCTGGTGTCCTCCGAGAAGAAGTACCCGTACGTGCACTCATCTGGAGCTGCGATCGGGAACGAGGGCAGGCCCTCAGACAGCGACGAGTTGGCGCACTCCGCCTGGGTCATGCAGCCGTCCCCGTCCGCGTCCAGCTCGTCGAAGCGCCCCTTGAACTGCTCCACCTTCTCCGACTCGCCCAGGAAGAGGCAGCCGTCGCCGTCCAGGTCCAGGTAGGGGAAGACGCCGCACCCCGCAGCATCGCAGGTGCACGGCTTCCCGCCTTCCAGGGTCGGGGCCGGCGTCGGGGCCTCCGTGGGCCGCCCTGCCGACTGCGCCCGCTCCGCGCAGGGCTCGGGGCACACGCCGGACAGCCGGGCCGTGGCGTGCAGGTGCCGCTGGAAGTCCTCGAAGCTGGAGCTGCTGGTCAGGGGGGCGTACCAGCCCGGGTTCTCCGCGATGCCCGTCTGCATCGCCCACTGCACCTCGACGAAGCACTCCTCGCCCGCGACGGAGGTCCGGCAGCCCCTCTGCGGCTGC